ATTCTAATTTTTCTTCATTATTGGTTTGGAATCTACACTCTCTATTTCTATTCCTAAGAGTAACCCTTAAATCTTGCCATGCATATTTAATTTAATGGTGCCTGTTTCTCTGCTTTTCAACTATTTTAATTCACTCTTCAATAATCTAGTTTCTGGCCCTAACACTCCAATGGAAACTGCTTTTACAGAAGTTTCCAAATGCTGAATTAAATGGTTCTTTTATCAATTGTTATCTCACTGGATTTCCCTGCTGATTTGACATTTGTGATCATCTCCTTCTAGATATTCTAGTCCTTGACATTGTACTTCCCTAAAGTTTTGTTTGTTTTGTGTAGTGTAACTCTATTCCTCCTCATCCCTACTCCATCTCCTCTCCTTCTTGGGCCTTTTCTCCTTAACTCCTATTAAAAATGAACATTTCCCCCCAAACTGTTCCAGCCCACTGCTTTTATTTCACAAATCCACCCTATGTGATCCCATCCTCTCCTATGGCATCAACTACCACCTCTATGGGCTAACTCTCAAATTAATTTCTCCAGCTTGACCTCTTCCTTGAACTTCAGACTCTTAAATCCAATTTCCAGCAGGTCAACCAGACTTAATATCACAGGCAACCCAGTTTTGACATGCCTAAAATCAAACTCCTAATTATCCTCTTTTCCCTACCTAGAGGGAAAACCAGTTTCTCTTCCTTCTGTAAGTTCTTTCACATAACCTAGAAACATGGGAGAGGTGACTCCTTCCTCTCCCTCTATCCCATATCTTATCTAGTACTGACACCTTCCAATTCTACCTCCTGAAGTATTTTTCTGGTGACTTTTCTCAAACAATATTCTATGGTTATTAGATATCCCAGAAAAAAAAAACAAACAGATTTCATGGCAAAATAAAAGTTGCTAAATGCTAGAAAACTAAGAAAAATTATTTATCATGGGACTTTTCAGAGCCACTACTATGTAGATACTATATTCTATATATCACAAGAGGTGATAAGACGTGACCCCTCCAAGCCTGCTTTAGTATTTCTGTGGATGACCTTTTAGCATCTAAGGCACTTCATTCTCCTTTACCCTCACTACCATGATCTACCAAGGTCAGTTCTTGCCACCTCTGGCTTCCTAGCTCTGGTCTTGTTTCCTCAAACACGTTGTCCACAGTGATGCAAGAATGAGCTCCCTAAATTGCCTGAGCCCACGGGTTCGAGACCAGCCCGGGCAACTTGATGAGACATCATTTCTACAATAAATCAAAAAATTAGTCGGGCATGGTGGCGCGTGCCTGTAGTTCCAGCTACTTGGAAGACTTGAGGCAGAAGGATCACCTGAGCCCAGCAGGCCGAGGCTATGGTGGCCGGGAGCATGCCACTGCCCTCCAGCCTGGGTGACAGAATGAGACTCCAACTCAAAAAAAAAAAAAAAGAATGAGCTCCTAAAACTCAAATCTGACCAGGTCACTCCACCATTCACACATCAGGCTAAGCTCCTTCATAGGGTATGGGAAGCCCCCCATGACCTTGCCCAACTTGACCTCCTCTCACCTCACACACCCTAACTCATGTGATACCTTAGAAACACCGAACTATGTGTGCCTCCCCAAATGTTCTATGATGTTGTAGGTTTCTATATCTTTGTTCACATGATACAGGAGGCACCCCCCAAAAGCAGAATTTATCAAAAATTGTGTATTTATTCTTACATGTCTAAACTTCAGTCGCCTTCAAAGTTCTGTTTGATGCAATACAACCAGAAACGCTTTTTCCACTGCTCAGGTTTTGAACTCGTCAGTTTTGATGCCTTTTAGTGCTTCTGTCATTTTTTGTTTCGCCTCTTCCACACTGGCAAAACGTTTCCCTTTGAGGACTTTTGCATTGGGGAAACAAAAAAAGTCACCCAGGAAAAGATCAGGCGAGTAGGGAGGGCGGGGCACAGGAGTCATGCCATTTTGGGCTAAAAAAACTCCTGAACACTCAATACTTTAATTGTACTCATTCCACTTATATTGTACTTTTTATATTTAGACTTGTTTCAAACATATTACTTTTTAATTCTATTTGTTCCACTTTTCTGTGCTTTTTAAAAATTTTTTTAAATTTAAAATTTTTATTATAAAGATGTGGAGTAGAATTCAGGGTTCCCTCAACTGCCAATCTCACCCCCCTCCCCTGACAGTTTCCCACTAATGCCAATCGCTTTCTTGTAGCATTATAATTGTTCAAGGTCTGCTTATGAGTGAGAACATACGGAACTCTGTTCTTTGTTTCTGTGATAGATCACTGAGTATGATCAACTCCAAATCCATCCAAATTGCTGCAAAGTCCATATATTTGTCCTTCTTTATGGCTGCTTAATATTCCATTGTATATATGTACCACATTTTTTATATCCAGTCCAGCTTCGATGGGCAACATGGTTGGTTCCATGTTTTTGCTATTGTGAATAGAGCTGCAACAAACATACGTGTGCAGGTATCTTTTTTGTAGAATAATTTGAGTTCCTCCAGCTATATTTCCAATAGGGGAATTGCTGGATAATGTGGAAGAGAAACAAAGCAGGAGGTATCACACTTCCAGACTTCAAATATTATTATAAGGCTACAGTAATTAAACAGCCTGGTATTGGTACAAGAACAGGCACATAGACCAATGGAACAGGATAGAGATCCTGGAAGCAAAGCCTCAATTCCTCGACCAACTCATCATTGACAAAGCCTCCGACAACAACCACAGGGGAGAATAGAACCTATTCAGTAAATGGTGCTGGGAAAACTGGCTGACCACATGCAGAAGATTGAAACAGGACCCCTACCTATCACCATACACAAAAATTAACTCTAAATGGATCAAATACCTAAAACCTCAAACTATAAGAATCTTAGAAAATGCAGGAGACACCCTTATGGAAATGGGAATTGGGAACCAATTCCTATTCAGAACCCTAAAGGCCAATACCTTTTCTGTGCTTTAAAAAAGATTCTTACTTTGCTTTTTTCTTGAGAAGATGGTTGATATTTTTGCTTATTTGCATTTTCTTATTCTAATTTTTTCTTCATATTGGTTTGGAATTTACATACTCCATTTCTATTCTTAAGAGTAACCCTTAAATCTTACCATGTACATTTAATAGAGCCTGTTTCTCTGCTTTTCAACTCTTTCAATTCACTCTTTCACTGTTTGAGCAGTGGAAAAAGTGTCTTGACAGGGGTACTACACTAAACAGAAAGTACTTTGAAGGTGTCTGAAGTTTAAACATGTAAGAATACACAATTTTAGTGTGCTTGTAAATCACCCATCATGAAATGGGCCAACGCATTGAAACAGACTCCAAAAAATATTAACTGAAGCTGAACACAGCCTTTCACAATGCTAGCAGGTGCACTGATGCCAATAGGTTCCTGGAATACTTACCTAGGGGGGAATGCCTGTACTACAAGGGGCCCATACTCCAAGGATAATTCCAGGTTTTGGGGGGGTCCCCCTCATATATATCTGGAATATTCTTATCCACACCCACTCCCTGGATGGCTGTTACGTCTCTGAGACTCAACTTGAGTGCCACTGTCCTTAGGAAGGTTTCCCTGACTGGGCTAGGTGCCCCCACCCATGTCCCATAATCGACTGTATAAGAAGTAATAAATTTGCTGCCTCTTGAGACCATGAGCTTCTTAAGGACAACAACTATGCCAGATTCATTCTATTTTTCGTATCTATTCTTCCCAAATTCTAAAAGCTGATGGGCTACAAGGCTCAGTTCTCTACCATGCTTTCTACATAGGTGACTTCACCTGGTCTCATGGCTTTACACAGCATCCATACCCTGATGACTCCCAAACTGATGCCTCCAGCTAAAATATTTCCAATACAGACATTTACACTTGTTCTGTTCTCTGCGAGATCTCCACACAACTGTCTGCTTATTCAGGACTCAGTTCAAATGGAATTTCCTCCTGATCACACCATCCAAATGACCCTCACACCCACTCTCTCCCCTTACCTTGTCTTATTACTATCTGAATTAAACCAATTCATTTACTGGTTTACTGTCCACCTCTCCTACACACTATACTATGATATTGGGGGTTTATTCATTGGTTTATATCCAGAACGTAAGACAGTGTTTGGCACACTATAAACACTTACTAGATATTTGTTGAATGAATTACTGCCTAACAAAGGTCTGACACATAATACATACATGTTAATAATATCTGAGTGCATACTAAGTGCCCAATATTGCACTAAATACACCATAAGAATTGCTTCATGTTATCATAACTATTGCCATTAGCCCCATTTCACACTGAGACACAGGTGTTTAGTAGTTTGCTCAGTTCCCAAAGTAAGAAGGAATATGAATATTGGCAGTCTGATACAGAACTCACTTTCTTAGCCACTGTGCTATCCTCTTGCTAACATCTGTAAGTTCTCAAAAGGTATACCAAAGGAAAGAAGGAAGAGTCCAAGATCCCTTTTGCTGAGAGCAGAAAGGGAGTCAAGCAGAGGAAAAGAACAAAAGATGATTTACCTTTTATATTTCACACTCTGCCCAGGATGAGTGTTCCATCTTGAATTCCTGACACTGGTTCAGAAGGTTCAGCTCCTACTTTTTGTCCTGACAGCTCAGAGAAGGCCGAGTTACCTTTACCAGTCAAAGCTACTGCTCTCTCGGCAGGGAAGAATTTAAACTCTGCCAGCTCTGTCTAGGGATCTCTAGTAGACCCCTGGCCAACTGCTTCCTTTCTCTGAGTCTCAGCTTCTCCATCTGTTGGGGAGAAAATGTGCTGTTCTGATGTTCTTTGACTCTAGCAAGTCGCTGTAGTTCTCTCATCTCACAACTCTAGACACCACTGGAGAGAGCTCCCTTTCTGACTGTTGGAGTCTGGGCCTGGCCCTTGGGTATGAGAAGTACTGAATTTTCTATACATGAAGTGAAGGAAGTACCTTGCAGAGCAGGGGTGTAACTCATACTTCTCTGGAGTGACACACAGTAACAGCCAAGCAAATGGTTCTTCCCTGCAATATTTATTAAGGAATTTACACATACACAGGAGAAAGGCAACCAAGAATTGTGGTTCCCACACATGAAATCTTTTAAGCAAAGTTTTCTTGTTTCAATTTTCAAGTGGGGTGAACAAGGACTGAGAGGAAAGCTGTCCTGGCTCTCTGCCTCATACACCTGGGAAAGGAGGGGAAACAGAGCACCCCAGATATACAGGCATGAAAGAGTGATCAGCAGATTGGGAGTAGATTGAGAGGAAAAAGGGAGCTATCAATGAGATGGCAATTTTTTAAAACTAGAAGAAAAACGTAACAGCTTTAGGCTGTTGATAAATTAATTCCTCTCTGTTGTAAACCTAAAACTAAAAAAAAAAAAACAACAACCAAACAAACAAAAAAAACACCCAGAGCAGATGGGAAGTGGGAGGTGGAAAACACACACTCACACACACACACACACACATGCACACGCACACACACGCACGCACGTGAGCAGCACACACATTAAGCTCTGCATTCCCACTGTAGGGGTTGGTCCTCCAGCCATGGAGCCAGATCCTACTGAAGGCAGGTAGGAGGCAGGAAAGAGATGCGTGTCTGTGTGTGGGATCTTCATAAAGTCTTTGGTGCTAATAAAGGCTGACTGAAGCAGCAAGTCCTGAAGGCCTAGATCCAGAAAGCAACTCAGGGCGAATACAGTAATATTTTTGCTCATCCTCACAGGAGGGGGGGCTTGCCTCATCTCAGGGTTAGGGTCAACCTGATCCAAGACCCAAGGAGTATTTAATTTGATTTCAGTACTTTCTGCATTCCTATAAATCATATGAACATGATGCCTCCGTCTTCAAATTTAAATACTTAGAAATAGCTTATTAACACATAGATCTCTAAACTTTCTCTTTTCCCTAATACATAACACCTATAGACCCTTCTGAGAGTCTGATAGAGGTTTAACCTTGAGGGAAGGTACTCAAAGGTATGCACATTTCTCCTGCAAGTTAAGTGCCTCTGCCAACAATTTCTAAGGTGCTGGTGCCAGGAGAGGACTCAGGGCCGAGAGCCTGGGGAAGAAGTTGGGATGGCTAGGGGACATGTACAACATAAAGCAACAGAGAGGTCTTTGTGTTTGGGAAGTGGCCAGGCTGGGCAGGATGCCAAGCCCCAAATGACTTATGGAGCAATCTCTAAACCAAAGAGAGAGAGGTCGGAAAAGAGGATGGGGCGAGGAGGATAGGGAAAGGAGAGCGCTAGGGCTGATGAACGTGGCGGCCATACAGGTGTTTTGTTTTTATTTCCACATCTGAGGACTGAGAGTCTGATTTGCTGCCTGTCCATTTCCACCGCTCATTGACTGTCCATAGCTCATCATGCCGTTGGCGCCATAGAAGTTCATCCCAGCCATCTGCTGGGTCATCTGAAAGGGAGAGAGGAGACTTTCAGACCAGGCTGTGGGCATTCAGCCAATTAGTACAAAAGGCAGGGTGGAAACCCTTTTGTCTGTGGGGAAGGAGAAAATGAGACAACGGGAAACATTGTTATATATGGTACATCCTAGACCTTAAGAGTCAGATAATCTCAAGACCACACACTCGAGGAACTTTTCAGGAGTGTGACGTTGACCAAGACTAATGTTCAAAGAGGGAAAGAAGGTATTCTGGATCTAATCAACAGAAAAACAGCATGAGAAGTTCTTCTCTTCTTCCTTTCCAGTCTCTTATCGGGGCCCATTGTTAACTTGCCTGGCCAATCCTGAGAGTCGAAAGAAAAGCCCCTGACTCCCGTGCCTCATCTTCAGCATAGCTATTACTTCCAATGTCAGGGAAAGCGCTTGTACACGCTTGCTCATTTGCAGAGGGGGGATAAAAGGCACTTTTTAAAAAAAGGCACTACATTGTTCAGAACGAACAAAGGCAAAAAAAAAAAAAAGAAAAGGAAAAGGAAAAGGCCAATGTGTCTTCAGTACATGTGACCAAAAGGAGAAAAGAGCATGTGGGATAAGGACTAGGGTGAGGGGAAAGGTGGTGGGGGGTGGGGGAGAGTCTTCATGAACTAAACTGAAAAACTGGTCCTTGGCAGTGAACAGAAGAAATAATATCCAAGAAAAATGACTTGAATTTCCTGAGCCTAGTACATTTTCTGTATAAGTTCTTTTTCTTTAGGAGAAAAGTCTTATTTTCTTCTACCAACTTTTAAAGAAAATTTCATACTTACAGTAAAGTTGAAAGAATAGTAAAATGAAACCCATATATCTCTTCCTTAAATTCACCAATTGTTAACATTTTGTCATATTTTCTCTCCCTCTCTTTATAAAAACTTGAAACAATTTTTGATAAGCATTAAAAGTTGTAGATATCATGATATTTGAGACCTTAAGAAGTCAGGAAGCATCACATAAAAATGAACACTTGAATAAACCCACAATACTATTAACAATCTCAAGAAATTTAACATTGACACAATAGTCTAACATACAAGACATTTCAGTTTCATATCTCTTTAGTCTCCTTTAATCAAGAACAGTTTCCCTATCACTTTGTTCCATTTTTTCCTGATGTTGGCATTTTTAAGAATCCAGGCCAGTTATTTTGAAGAATGTTCCTCAGTTTGGATTTATCTCATGTTTTTTTCACAATTGGATCCACGTTAAATATTTGTGGCAAGATTTCTATGTAAGTGATATTATGTCCTTGTTAGTACAAGGTATTAGGAAGCACATGAGATTAAGGTTTCCCATTGTTGGTAATTTTATTTATTTGTTTATTTATCTATTTATTTATTTATTTATTTATTTATTTTTAGTCAGAGTCTCACTCTGTCACCCAGGCTAGAGTGTAGTGGCATGATGACAGCTACAGCAGCCTTGACCTGCTGGGCTCAGGCAATCCTTCTGCCTCAGCCCCCCAAGTAGCTGAGACTACAAGCACACACCACCACGCCCAGCTAATTTTTAAATTTATTGTAGAGATGAGGTCTTGCCATATTGCCCAGGTTGGTCTAGAATTTCTGGGCTCAGGCAATCCTCTCACCTTGACCTCCCAAAGTGCTGGGATTGCAGGCATGAGCCACTGCAACTGGCTGTTGTTGGTCATTTTATGTTTGATCATTTGGCTAAGGTAGTAGTCATTTTTTTCCATTATAATTAACAAACAACCTGAGGGGTATTTGTTTGAGAATGTGTGAATACCTTGTTCTTTCTACAATTACTATCTATCATTCTTCTGTAAAGAAGACTTTCTCTCCCTCCATTCCATACTGAATTTTTAAAAAATATCACTGTGGACTCATGGGTTCTTTTTATCATTCAATGTGTCATAATCTATTACTGTTATTGTTCCTTTTGATGTTCAAATTATTCCACTTTTGGCTGGTGGGAGCCTCTAGAAGTGGGCTCATGAGTCCCTTTGACATGTTCCCACCAGTTTTATAGCATTTCATTCCTTACAGAAATAAAAAGAATGAAAATAAGTGAGTTAAAATTCCAACTATGAAAGCTAGAACAAGAAAAATAAAGTAAACCCAAAGTAAGCATAAGGATGGACACAGTAAAGATAAACCAGAATTTGAGGCAGAAAACAGGACAATGTAGAACCAATACATCAAAATCCTGGTTCTTTGAAAAAAATTAACAAAACTGCCTGATATCACTTTTGATAAATTAATTTGAAAATCTTGGTGAAATTACTTTGAAAATCTAGGCAAATATAGTTTTCCAAAATTGACTTCCATAGAAGAAACAGAAAATTATCAAGGAATTGCTATAAAAGAAAGCAACAGGGACACATAGCTCCCATGGGAATTCTACAAAACCTTCAAAGACCAACACTACATAAATTATTCCAAACCACCGAGAAAAACATAAGAATATTTTAATAAAGTATAACACTGATACCACCCTGATAAAGACAGTGTGTACATGCACTGACTCTCTGGTATTCCTTTTCCTATCCTTTTGTTCTCATGTTAATTCACTTTGCTATAAGGTACTTCTGTGAACCTAGTATCAAAGCAGGCACTGCTTTGTGAGGCAATTTGAACACTGTTTCTTTTGATAGAAGAGCTGCCTATTGAGATGACCGGTAAGTTTGGTCTTAATTCCATCATATTGTATTTTTACTGTGTTTATTATATTTGCTGCACTCTGTAATCTGTTCTAAAAGCTATTTGGGTATTTAGAAAGTTTCATATTTTTTGTTCTAGTTGATTACCTTTATCCTAACACTTTTAATAATGCCGGCCGGCTACTATATCTCACGCCTGTAATCTCAGCACTCTGGGAAGCTGAGGTGGGAGGACTGCTTGAGCCCAGGAGTTCGAGACCAGCTTGGGCAACATAGCCGATAAGTCTCTACAAAAAGTCAAAAAATTAGCCGAGTGTTGTGGTGCACGCCTATAGTCCCAGCTACTTGGGAGGCTGAGGCAGAAGGACTGTCTGAGCCCAGGAGGTTGAGTCTGTGGTAAACCCTGATCATACCACCACACTCCAGTCTAGGTAACAGAGTGAGATCCTGGCTCAAAAAAAAGAGAAATGTCCTTGGTCTTCTTTTTCCTTACTCGAGCTTCTATGACTTGGCTTTTCAGCTTATTATATCCTTTGACTTCCACTTATTTCCTATGCAAATTACTTTATTCGACTTCCCCCCATTTTTCTCCCTTCTCCTTCCATTACTTTTAGTTGTATTTCTGTTTGTCAGAATACAATGTATATTCTGCCACCCTTGTGACCAACATTGCTTTATCTCAGATTCTCAATTAAACAGTCAATGCTCACCATCGATCCTTTTGCCAAAAATGACCCATTATATCTTGGATGAAGCTTATCTTCTGTTAGATTCCTCAGGAAAGGCTTGTAACTGTGGTACACCCTGAGTTCTTGCATATTTAAGATTATTTTTTACAACCTTGATACTGAAAGGATAGCATGGCTGGTCATAAAATACCTGTTTTGCATGTATTTGAATGTCTTGAAAATATCACTCCTCTTTGTTGTCTTTTCATATTTTGCTGTTAGGAAGTCTGATGTCAACGTGGATGGTTTGTTGTTTTTATAAGTGAAAGATTTTTGTGGGTGGGAGGTACAGAGAAGGTTGGAGCCCTGAACATGTTTCTTGCTCTTAAAGTCTACTAAACCTGTAGATATGCTTTAGAGTTGACTATTTTGGGTCAATTTTCCCAGACACACAGTGGGCACTTTCAATATCATATTCAAGTCTTTTATTTCTAGAAAGTTTTCTTGTATGATGGTTTAAAAATATGTTAATTTTGTTCCATATTTTGTTTTACTTCTTTAGGTGTCTCCAAATATACATATGTTAAGTTTTCTTTTGCCTAATGTCTATATTACTTTCTCTCTGATTCTTTTTATTCCTTTCTACATTTAGTTTTCATTCTCTTAGCTGTTTCATGCCTTTCCTCAATGCCAAAAATATTTTCAGCTGAATCTATTGTCTTTTGGCTAATTTGTAATTCAGTCTGTTAAGATAATTTTGTCTTTTTCTTTAATTTCCTTCCTGAGTTCAGTAAACTTTCATTTCATAACACCCAGCTTTTTATCCACTTTGGCTCTAAGTTTTTGAAATTCTGATTTAAGCTGCTTTGTCTTATCTGCAAATGTTTAAGGACATTTAATTCAGGTTGGTAGATGTGTAACAATTTTATTCTGCCTCATGACTGCTTTCTGAGGGAGAGTATTCACTACCTGAAACGTTTTAATTTTTGTTTTCTGTTTTCTTCTCACAGTAGTTTTGCACAAATATTATCTGCCATGTTCTGTTTATTATGTAGTGTCTTATTTTTCTGAATCAGCAATAATAGCTGTGAGGCTTACTAAATGTCTTAGTTTAAGAGCACCATCTTCTATTAATGAAGTAATTATTTTGGAGGAGGGAGGATGATGTATATTCTGATTTTGTGATTCTCATTTCCACTTCTCATTTCTTCCTTTCTCTTTGTCACCAGGTCCTCCAAAAGGTACCTTCTCCTTCTAAGTCATGCCCATCTCCCCCAGAAGCCACACTTTCCCAAGGCTACCACCTAGAATACTACGTATTTCAAGACCTTGTTTTTGATCCTCTAAACAAGCAGAGTTCTAATCTACCAGGTCTCAGAATTCTTCTCAGTAAGTTTCTGATTAGGGTAGGTCTTTCTCCTTCTGGGGGGTGATTTTTTCTATGCTGTTACCCCTAAGCCCCTGCTACCTCTCCTTTTATATACATAGTCTCCTCTGGGATACTAGCTCTGCGTGTTTATATGTCCACTGTCATACCGTTCAAAGCTTGTAGTATTCTGTCTACTAAATGCAGTTGTTGTGAGAATATCTGCATTCTTGTTTGTCTGTGTAGGTTTCTTGTGTTTGTTTTTGTTTCTGAGAACATGTAGAAGACTCAGATTTAGGCAGTTGCCCTTATTCTGCAGGAACCCAGAACTCCTCAGAAAGTCTGACTTTAGATAGACCTTCTAGGAGGAAGAAAACAAACTTAAGACTGTCTCTGGCATTATCTCATGTACATGGAAAAGATTCAAAGGATAAGGGAAAGACACAAAGTGAGACAACCTTGAGGAAGGCTCAAAACTCTTGTCCCACATAAAATAGGGTAGCTTACCTGAGTAAGGTTCCACTGCAGCTGCTGAGCTGGCTGAACCCCATATACAGTCTGGGGCATGGCTGTCATGCCTGCCATGTAGCCAGCTGGCTGGGTGGTCATCATTCCATTCGGCACACCCATCATCGATGCCTGCATGCCACCCATATAGCCTGCAGGCATGGCCATGGGGGCAACCATCCCAGAAGCTCCTGGCTGAGCTACCATGCCTACTGGTGGGGGGATCATGCTCCCCATTATGCTATTAGGAGGTGTAACCCCAGGGAAGCTGGGGTAGGCTGTGGGATATGCCATCTGAGCAGGAGCCATGAACATTGCTGCCAAGAAAACACACAAAGAGGTCTCTTAAAGAGGAAAGAACACAAAGCCCAAACTCTAACTGGCTACTCCTTTCCAGCTAAAATTTCTTAGGGCTGCTCAACTTATAATGCTCTTTTATATAGCAAAGTAGGTAGACAGATTCTCTACAAGACTTGCTATGGCTTACCAATGAGCTGCTGACCTTTTAGGGTCCAGATCCAGACTCTGAGTCAGACCTTACAGAGATGTGACCCCAGACCCTGCAGAAGGATGGCTTTGGGTTATATTACTATCCATCTGCTGATACTTTGTGGCTTCCCAAGAACTGTAATGTTCAAGCTTGTTTGGTATATGTTGCCCTGGACCCCAAAGCAACTGTCCCCTGTCACAAATAATTCCTGCATGGAAGCCCTCAAGTCTCTATCCAGCACATGGCCATGACAACCATGAAATGTACCTTGAGTAGGCATTTGTGGCGTCTGGGATCCATATAGTGAAAGGATGGAGTCCTTAGACAGTTGTTTTTTGCCTACTTCTTCTGATTTGCTCCCTGGTTCTGGAAACAAGTTCAGGTTTTCAGGAACAGAGCCGGCACTCCCTGCAGTTGGCATGGAACCTACAACCTTATGGCAAAGAGAGTGGGAGTGGGGGAAGGAATTGGGAAGGTTCTCATGGGGGCCTCTTTAGGGACCTCCCTTACTTCTCTGCTGTTTTTAACATTTGCACTAAAAATTCATGGGTCAGGTTAGTAGTTTCCTGACATTTTTACCATAAAAATGCCTGAAAACACCGGATAGTTAAGCTCTGGTACAATCTTTCCTTTTCAGCAAAACAATGTGACGTGGTAAAAAACACAATGATGTAGCAGAGAGAACTAAGTTTAGATTCCAGTGCAGCCATTTACAAGCTGTATAACCAAAGGCTGGTCACATAACTTTTTTAAACTAATATTTCATCATCTATAAAATATCCATTTAGTAGGTATGTGGTAAAGATGTGAAATTATTCATGAAATATACAAATTAATATACAAAACCACCTAGCACTGTGCATGGGACACCACAGGTATTTCACAAATGGTAATCATTAAAAGTTTGAAGTCTTTCATACCTACAATTCTGACAGTTAACTCAGGCCAAGGAGCTGGCCTGAAGTATCAGCCTTCACAATCTCACACACCTTTGATAGAGGCCAACTTAAAGGGCCCACCCTTTTGGGGCAGGAGACAAAATAGTATGAACGGCAATCTTAGGCTGTGACAGAAATGACACAATGTTAAAGGAAGTCAAGAAAGCCAAGGTCCAACACTACCAAGGAAGCACGACTTAGTTCCAGAATTATGATTTCAACATCACCCTTTCCAGAATGCTCTTTAATTCTGAAGAGCCCATGAGACTCACCTTTCTGGAAACTGACGAGGAAGGGGATGGAACAGAGGCCAAAAGATCTAAATCCTTCTCTAGAGTATTGCTGGTCTTACTATTTGCAACGGAGCAGGCCACAGGAGCATCTAGAAAGGGAGATCAAAGTTAAAGTGTAGCACTGCTCATGAAGCCTACGCCTTCTTGCTGTTCTCAATAAAAAGCAGAGAAGGCCCATATTTCTGGAACCATCCAGAAATTTGGATGGGGCTTCTCAAAAGAGGCCTCACCCCACATTCCCAAGAGTACTCTAGGGAAGCCCATAGCCCAGCTCTCAGGCACAGAGCAAGCAGTAGGAGCCCAGGCCTGAAGGCTACATCAGCACCATAGCTGGAGGCTGGCCAGTTCTCTTCTGGCTATTTGGAGGGCAAGGTGTGTAGGATTCATTTTCAGAAAGTAATGAAAGGTACAGAAAGTAGAAGCCTAAGTATCCAGTAACTTAAATCAGCGGAAGTAGACTGAAACAAAGTACAACCATCATTGCCGTGAAAGGCAGAAAATAGGCTTTCTTTCTGAAAGGGTAGAATCACTAGATCAGGATTTCAAAGGTTTGGAGAAAAATGACCACAAGGTAACAGGCCATCTCAGAAATAGGTTACACCTGAAAAATGAAAGGGATGGGGGAAGGGAGTGGAGTACAGGGAAGTGACATGAGGCTCGAAGGTGCTATTTAGCAAAACTGCTGATATTTACTGAGCACTATGTGCCAGGGATGGGGCTAAGAGCTTTAGAGGCATTGTCTCATTTAATCTTCCCAACAACACTGTTAAAGTAGAGACTCTTATTCTTACTGCATAGATTAGGAAAGTAACATTCAGAAGTTAAGTAAACTACCCAAAGTGTCACAGACAGTAAGTGGCACAGTTGGGACACTGGCTCCAAAGGCTATGCGCTTAACCACTGCACTATACTGTTGAACTGAAAAATGTCACAGTAAACACTTGCTTAGAGCAGCTACTCAGATGTAAAACATAACCAGAAGAGTATGAGAGAATAATCTTAGCAATGAAGACACACAAACTGGGAATCCCATCTCTGCCTAGCTTCCCAGGATCACTGAAAATTCATCAAAATCTGTAAGAACATGGGAACTGAAAAGTCTAGCTCTTACCAAGGCCCAATAAATCCATGACAGGTGCTGAGGATTTCGGGGAGCTTTTCCGAGGTAGCTGTGGATCTTCTTTTTTCTGTGGCTAAGGTGAAAATATGTTATAGAAAGAAATAATCAGGTGTTTTTTAATTCTTTTTTTTCCCCTCTCCACTGTAAAGCAACAGTATTCTTGTAACGTGGTTGCTGTTATACAAAGAGAGTTACCAAAGAAACATAACTCAAGAAGTGTCAGGTGAAAGAATCAAGTCAGGAAGCACGAGTACATAAACCAAACCTAAAGTAAAAAACAAAGGTATCACCTGTGATTGTCTGGCTTTCTGAAGAGACAGATCTTTCTGAAACCAAGACAACCAAAGAACAGGGGATCCAACAGAAGCAGCAGTTTTTGGTCCCAAGAAAAGTCAAGAATAAAGGTAGGTATCTGATGGTACAAGAGCCAAGAGCCAACAAATCTCCCAGTGGCTAGAAAACCTTTACTTTAATACCAAAAGGGAGATCAGTTAAAAGATTATGAAATTCACCCTGTCACTATCACTAGTGATTGTGTCCACAGACAATGAAATTCAGAATGATGACAAAAGACTCTTCCTTAAGCAACAACAAATAAAGTCCTTTCCCCCAAGATTGCAAGCGCTTATATTACAGTATCTACTACTACAACCACAATATGTCCTGCGTAAAAAGAAAGGTGCCTGCTTGAATATGACAAAGCAAGAATACACGACGGGATCATTTAAAACAAACTAGTATGGTCTGACTTCTGGACTGTCCTTTACTGAAATAGAAAAATGAGGTACAGAAGGTCTAACAAAAGACGGACCAATGCTGGGGTAGCCTGTGCTCAGAAGGTGTCACACAGCCTTGGCATTCTGGCTTGGAATGTGTCTCTTGCTTAGACGGGACAGATGCATTTCCTAAGCTCCCATCTGGACCCAAAGAGAAGTGTTACAGAGCAGACAGGCAGCAGCAAGTAATGGGAGAGAAGCAGAAATGGCAACAAACAATCTAATCCAGATGTGGAACCTTTTAGCACCAGGTGCAATGGTGTGATATGGTACCCACCACGAGGCTTCCCGCACCTCCCCTCCACACATATGAACATACCTGGGGCTGTCTAAACAGTGCAAATACTACCCCACTCACCATTTTCACTTTCTCAAAAACAACAGGTTCCATTTTTTTCTCTGGAACTGGTTCACTCCCTCTTTTCCACTTATCATCTTTTTCTTTCTATAATGGTTTAACAAAACAAGACAAAGAACACAGGCACCAAGGTGATTAATAGTTCAATAAATTATAATTCCAAATATCTAAAAAGGACATTCTAAATCTTTACTGATTCTAATGCAGACGTCTGACAAACTTGGGGGCGATGTCTTGGTGTGGAGCATGAGTTGATCTCTTCCACATTAGCCTTGATGCTGTATGAGGCATCCTTCAAACACACACCCATCTTCTTGGTCTAACCTATTCATGATTCTTGAAATTTGCAGTTTAGGCTATCTACAGAGGCTAAAAAGTTTTACCAGATTGTTGCCCATCTTCACCCCAAATTTAACTTGCCCATGCTTTGAGAGACCCCCCTCATCTTAGTGTACTAGTGAATACATTCATGTTCACCTTACTCAGCTTATGTCCTTTGTGATTTTATAAATTCAATCATAGATCTCTCAACAGTTATCTCTCTTTTTAAAAATCAGAAAATAAATCTTAATTTCAAGTTTAAAGATTTAAAAAACAGGCCATGTGTGGTGGCTCACACATATAATCCCATCACTTTAGGAAGCCAACTTAAGGCCAGGGGTCAAGACCAGCCTAGACAACATAGCAAGATCTTGTCTCTAAAAAAACAATTGTCTAGTTTAAATTAGTAAGGAGTGTTGGTGCCCACCTCTAGTTCTAGCTACTTGGGAAGCTGAGGCAGGAGGACCACTTATACCCAGCTGTTAGAAGTTATAAAGAGCTGGCCAGGCGTGGTAGCTCAAGCCTGTAATCCCAGCACTTTGGGAGGCCAAGGCGAGAGGATTGCCTGAGCTCAGGGGTTTGTAACCAGCCTGGGCAACTTGGAGAGATTTTGTCTATACGATAAATCAGAAAATTAGCCAGGCATAGTGGCACATGCCTGTAGTTCCAGCTACTTGGAAGGCTGAGGCAAAAGGATCACCTGAGCCCAGCAGGTCAAGGCTATGGTGGCCGTAAGTGTGCCACTGCACTCCAGCCTGGGTGACAAAGGAAGACTCTGACTCAAAAAAAAAAAAGAGAAGTTATAAAGAGCTATGATTATACCACTGCACTCCAACTTGGGTGGCAGATCAAGGCTATCCCTTTATTTTATTTTTGAGTAGGAGTCTCACTCTGTTGTCCAGGCTGGAGTGCAGTGGCAGTGGTAGGCTCATGGCCACTGCAGCCTCAACCTGCTGAGCTCAGGCGATCCTTCTGCTTCAGCCTTTCAAGTAGCTGGAACTATAGGTGTGTGCCATCACACCTAGTTAGTTTTTTTATTTATTGTAGAGACGAGGACTTGCCAAGTTGTCCAGGCTGGTCTCAAACCTAATGAGCTCAGGCAATCCTCTCGCCTCCATCTTCCAAAGTGCTGGGATTACAGGTGTGAGCCACCACACCTGGCAGACTCTATCTCTTAAAAAAATTATAAAAACAAAAATTAAGAACTAAAGTTTAAAAAATGTAAATGTAAAACAAAGCCACAAAGTAACCTTAAAACTATAAGCACATAAAAGAAAGTACAGGCCGGATGTGGTTGCTCATGCCTGTAATCCCAGCACTTTGGGAGGCTGAGGTGAGAGGATTGGTTGGGTCCAGGAGTTTGAGACCAGCTTAGGTAACGTAGCGAGACCTCATTTCTACAAAAAAAAATTTTTTAATTAGCCATGTATAGTGGCACATGCCTGTAGTCCCAGCTACTCAGGAGGCTGGGTGGAAGGATTGCCTGAACCCAGGAGGTCGAGGCTGCAGTGAGTCATGATTGTGCCATTGCACTCCAGCCTGGGTGACAGAGACTCCAACTCAAAAAAAAAAAGGTATAGTATATATATGAAAAAATGTTTGGTTTTGCCAGTGATCAAAAATTTAATTTAAAATGCATTTTAGAGAAGAGAAAAATCTTAATAATAATAATAATACTATCTAACTTTGGTAGGAACGAAGTGAAATTAGTACTCTTATACAATGCTGAGAAGACAGTGTAAAATGGCAAAGCTTCTGGAAAGTATATTAGCAAAAGTATGAAGAGACAAATACTGAAATTCTTTGAACTAGATAATACCACATCTTTTAATGTGCCTTAAGAAAGTAATCCAAAATCTGAAAAAGCTATACACACCAAGAAGTTCACCTCAGAATTATTATTACTGTTATTTTTGAGTTGGAGTCTTACTCTGTTGCCCAGGCTGGAGTGCAGTGGCACGCTCATAGCCACCTCACCATTGACCTGTTGGGCTCAGCCTTCCAAGTAGCTGGAACTATAGGTGTGCTACTGTGCCTGGCTAATGTTTGATTTATTGTATAGATGAGGTCTTGCCAAGCTTTCTGGGCTGGTCTCAAACCCGCAAGCTCAGTCAATCCACTTGCCTCAGTCTCCCAAAGTGCTGGGATTACAGACTGAGCCACTGAGCCCGGCTAGAATTATTTATGCTAAAGAAAAATGACAAATAGCTGGGAGCGGTAGCTCAGGCCTGTAATCCCAGCACTTTGGGAGGTCAAGGTGAGAGAACTGCCTAAGCCCAGCGGTTCAAGACCAGCCTAGTCTCTACAATGAATCAAAAAATTAGCCAGGTGTAGTGGCACGTGCTTGTAGTTCCAGCTACTTGGAAGGCTGAGGTGAAAGGACCACCTGAGTCCGGTGTGCCAAAGCTGTGGTGGTCATGAAAGGACCACTGAGCTCCAGCCTGGTCAGCAGAGTAAGACTCCAACTCAAAAAAAAAAAAGAACAGCATGATGACACAGAAGGAGAATGGTAAAACAAACTGTGATTTAGCTACTCACTGAAAGATGATGCAACAATTAAAAATTATGAAAACCATACAAGTAACAAAGGATTTATGATAAGTGGAATGAAAGGAGACAGTCTATATAACTATATTATAATTATGCCTCCAAAAAGTAGCTGTATGGAAAAAAAGAGGGAATACACAAAGATGAAAATCATCAGTAAAGATAGTGACTACAAGCATGGATTTTTTCACTTTAATTTTCATATTTTCTCTAAAATAATTTTATAAATAGAACACATACAGCCATGTCTTTTTCATACGTAGAACGTCTCTTAAATAGACATTTTGTTTCTTGAAGTTAAAAGTGTTTTATTTGTCCACTAAAAAAATAATATTCTGTAATTAACAAAGCCAGTTTCTTTTCATTTGACAGTAAATGTCTTCACTTAACAAATATTAATTTTTGGTAAAAAATCTTCACAAGAATATGAAAAAAATCTAAGCACATTAAATAAAAATAAATACAAATTTTGAAACAGTTTTTCGGTAAACAGGAGGTATTTCCTTCCTAAGTGAAAACAACCAGTAAAACAGGCTTGTTTTCATGGGTGCAGTATACCAGCAACGTAAATGTAAACACCACAACTCTCCCCTTCTCCTTCACCATCTGAATTACCTCATATATCCATTTCTGACCTCATCTGAGTTCATATCTTCGGGCACAATGAACAGAGCTAGGCAGACAGACCACAGTTCTCTACAAATAAAAGGAAATGTGTGTGCTTTGGTTCTAAACAGTTTTTGATGATGTCATCCAAGCTGTAGCTGTTCACTGGGTTAATTCTTTCTTGGAACAGTTATGATAACTGACAAGTCCCTTTTTTGGATGACAGTGAGGTAAGAGTCTTTCAGACTAAGTTGAGAAGGAATTTTTTTTTAACCTAATGACATGTATCACCTTACACTCACTTGCCTATGCTGAAATTCACCTACTAGTTAACCCCCTTTTCACACAGCTTCAAAAGATCAATCTGATGCTGATTCCAATTAGCTGAACTTTTATTTATCTGGAAGGGTTTAGAGCCCTACTCAAACTCAGTGATTTCACTGACTATTATATCATCTATTAAAATAAGTAACTAGAATAGATGACAAACAGACAGACGCACATAGATAGACAGACAGGACCTGGGCTAGAACTGGAGAATCTCATACTCAGTACTTCTGTGGCTAGAGAAGTAGTCAGTTGTTCCTCAAAGAATTTACTGTAGGTGGTCAAAGACTGTTTAACGGTCTAAATAGTCATATTTATTGGTTCTCCATTAGCTGTCATTAGTCAGGCATGTTTTCTTCTTCCAGAAACCATGTTGTATTTCCTCCTGCATGTTATACTTGTCTTAGTTAATACTTAGTTAATTACACCCACTTTAATTTCATTTATGGAAAAAAAGTATGTGTGCATATATATCTATACAGATTGATGTGTCTATAATATATATACATATACAACATGTCCATTTCAGGAAGTCATTCAGAACCGGGAATCACTAACATAAATACAGAGTAAGGCAAAGAATTCACTGATGGTTTGCCCTGCCCACTCTGAGGCAGAAGTTTTTTCCATGATATTTCATGGTTTTGACTCAATAAATAATATTTTTCTACTTTTTCATGTTATAAATGATGGTTTCTAAGTATTTTGGTAGTCATTCTTCAAATTCTACCATGGCCTGATTAATAAGCAAATTATTTATTATGAACAATTGAAAGATTTCCAACCAACCCTAAAGGCATTGATGTCCAGACTTCGATCCATATATTTCTTCTTTTCATATTTATCTCGAATAAATCCCTCGACAGCTCTGCAAAAAAGCTTATTAAGGATGAATCAAACAAGTCTCCCCAACAGTAAGAATAGAAAAGATCATTCTGTATTCCATGAAGTATTGTTCTCCTCCTTCCCTCTTGCCTGGTTTCCCCATGTGGCACCTGACTTTTCATGTGCAGTGTCCCTGACCAAAACCTTGAAATGTCTCCTTCACAGTAGGGGACAGGGAATCATTATTTCCTATGATTTCCCTTCAGAGTGATGATAGCAGAAGTGGAATTAACCTTTATATTGACATCAGAGGTGTCTGTGGTTGTTCTAAAACATAAGTAAAATGGTCCGTTGCCTATTTTAAAGCCCTTAGGTTAATAGGCCTCAAACAAAGGCACCTAAGTGCTCCTTAAAAACTCTTGTACTCCACTGCCAGATTCTGACAAGTGGATCTTCTGCAAGTCCCTGAATCTACATTTAATAGGTTCCATCTGCACTCATCAAAAAAAACTAAAACAAAACCAAAACAAAAAACATAGCCGGGCTCCGTGGCTCAGCCTGTAATCCCAGCGCTTTGGGAAGCTGAGGTGAGTAGATCGCCTGAGCCCGTGGGTTCGAGACCTCATCTCTACAATATATCAAAAAATTAGCCAGGCATGGTAGCGCGCGCCTGCAGTTCCAGCTGCTTGGAAGGCTGAGGCGGAAGGATGGCCAGAGCCCAGCAGGTCGAGGCTGCAGTGGCCGGGGCCACTGCACTCCTGTCTGGGTGACAGAGTGAGACTCCAACTCAAACAAACAAAACACAAAACGCTAACAAGATGATCTACAAACCACATTTTGAGGAGCACTGCCTTTAGGGGGTTTGGGTTTGTGTCCTGGGTGCTATATCCTGTGTTGAGTGAATGAAGAAAGAAAGTTACTGATAAACTGGTCGACAACAGTTAATTCTTTCACACAGGATATAAAGACAATAAATGGTAGTTTTGCTGACGGCAGGGTTCAACAGAGCAAAGTAAACTATTCTTTTTTTAAAAAATTAAACTAGTTTCAGAGATCCAATATAAACTAGGAGATGTAACTTTATAAAAGAATTCATGGCCAGGTACGGTGGCTCATGCCTATAATACCAGCACCTTGGGAGGCTGAGGTGAGAGGATTGCCTGAGCCCACGGGTTTGAGATCAGCCCGGGCAACTTGGTGAGACGTCATCTCTACAATAAATCAAAAAAATTAGCTGGGCATGGTGGCGCGTGCCTGTAGTTCCAGCTACTTGGAAGGCTGAGGTGGAAGGATAGCCTGAGCCCAGGAGGTTGAGGCTGCGGTGACCATGAGTGTGCCACTGCACTCCAGCCTGGGCAATAGAGTGAGATTCCAACTCAAACAGCAAAACATAACAAAACAGAAAAGAATTCACAGCTAAATCACTGCAGTCTTAATTCCTAATGAGTTTTCCTCATGAGATATTACATGACAATTTTGACATTAGCCAGTATATAGGTACTTTTGTATGTCTTGGTTGCAAGGCAGAAGAAAAGCAAGGACACTGATTAATCCACACAGAGATGACTCAGTTAGATCACAAGCCTTGAGTCTTGTTTGACTCTCTCCAAACATCAAAATACCACTCAGCCTTCTAAGTTGCTCCAGAAAAGATACGGGTCTATTTGAGGTCGCCGAAAAGTCTCAGGAAGGTAGGCTTCATAAAGTCGGTTTGCCTTTCCATTCCCCATCTCTTGCATGCACTGTGACCAAAGAGAATAGAGACACATGGAAAGTCAAATCAGAAAAGAATTGGAAAACTTCTCACCCAATTCCACTATTGTACAATTGGAGAGCCAATCTAGAGAGTGTCAGAACCAAGATTTAAACATGTATATTCTGATTTCCAATCTATGATTCCCTCTACCCCACTAGAAATTCCCAGTCATTTGCCCCCACAGCTGTCTTTTTCTCTCCCCTCCATGGGTTCTTTTTAGTCAATGATTTGTCTGCCAAGATACATTTAATTCAGCAACTACTCAATATCTCATTTGAAAGTCCAAGATACATAGCTACCAATCAAAATGTCTACTTGGCAGGCAACAACCAGTGTTAAATTCTGAGTTTATACTATTAATTAATCTATTCAGCTTTATTACCAATAAATGTGTTTAAACTTTCAAATAGAGCCCTTAACACTTGTGAGGGATAAATCCCAAAAGCTTTTTAAATCTTCAAATTCCCAGATACCTCTATGGCATGTAATTTCCTTCATAAGATAAAGTGTAACTGAAAAATGTAACTCACTCTTTTAGACCTTTAATCAATGTATAAAGATAGTCTAAATAACTTCTAAAGCCATTTTCTAGTTTAAAATGACCTCTTATTTCCATCACCAACTTTAGCACCTGGTTTTTTTTTGGTGGGGGGGGCTCCCTTTTACCATCCCCTAAAAAAATATAAAATTAAAGCCTTTCAGTGTAGAAGAATAAAGAACAATGAAGCTATACCAAGGTGCAGATCTAGGCTAGCCAGACTCATTCACTTAAGTGTCTCAATCCAGGCCCACCAAACTAAAGCATGCAAAATTCATATATGCATTTTAGCAATAAGATGTCTCTATGAAGTCTATGATTTGGAGGTTTTTAAAAAAATGAATATTTAAAACTACAAACATTAGACCTGGAAACCCTAAGAGTCTTCAAAAATAGCTTAAAGATACCTCTTAATACCTTCATGGACCCATGGGGTCCTAGACCATAGACTATTTGTGTTTTTAAGGAGGCAAAATTTAGGTAGAATAACATAACTTGTATGTTAAATAGAGTGATTTAAAATATCTTTATTAAAGGCATAAGAATTTGAGGTAATGTTCAGCAACTAAATTCTCTGTTATCTTCACCTTTGTGCGCAGTTTGGCTGAAATTCATCTGGGACTACTTTTACATGGATACATGGAAGCAGCTGACTCACTCTTAGGCTGTGTAAGTACCTGGATTTGTTCTTGAGTCCACTGGTCGAGGTTCACTGATTTTACCCTGGATATGTGCACCCCAAGATTCCTGTGGATTCCAGCACATCGAATGCAGATGAACACACCAATGTTCCAGGAGGCCCATCGTGGCCCTGTGAAGGTCAGGAACAGGGCAATAAAGTACAAATTACAACATTCAAGGTCTAAGCTGCAAGATTTCCATTATCAGACAACATGTCTGCTAGGACATAAGTGGAAGAATTTTTACCACAATCGCCTTTTTACTGACTTTGTTCATTTCTCCATGGATCAGCTTTTTTCATTTAGCTTTAGTTTTTTAAATTGTACAGTACAATGGTTTTTAGTACATTCACATAGCTGTGCAATGATTACTACTAACTAATTCCAGAACATTTTCATCACTCCCAACCCATTATCAGGCACACTCAATAGAGAGGCAGTGTCCTCCCAGTCCCTGGCAACCACAAATCTGTTTTATCTCTACAGATTTACCAATCCTGAACATTTAATACAAACGGAATCACACAATATATGGGCATTTGTACATGGCACAATCTTTACAGTGTCTGATAACATGTGTGTTGAAATGCAGATGTTATAATACTCTGTTGCTTCTATTAAGAAAAATCCCAGGAGAACAATGCAATGCCATGTCACATTCTATTTAGCCTAGCACCTTATGTGAACAATCCCCTCCTAAGAGACTTTTCAGTGGTGGTGGAGCCTGGATTCAGTTTTCCTACTAGGAAAAAAGATACAGATATGGCATGTTGGCCCAAGGCTCAACTTGAAATTGAAAACTTTGTTTATCCTCCCCCTCCCCAGGCCTATAAAATATGCATTCACATTAACTTGATAGGATCCTTTCCCCTTGGGCTGATGTCCTCTCTTTACCCAGCTACAGAATTATCTAGTTTCAAGATTGCCAAATAATACAGAAACATATTACAATAGAAAACTCAGATATACATTTTAATAAAAAACTGTTACAGATCTCCCATCCCTTGCCAACTTTGCCCATCCTAATAATCACTCTGGGGCCTCACTCAGTCATTCAGGCTGGAGTACAATGGCATGATCATGGCTGACTGCAGTCTTAAGGCTCAGGCGATCCTTCCACCTCAGTCTCCCAAGTACCTGGGACTACTGGCATGTACGACCATACCCAGATAATTTTTTTATTACCTGTAGAGGCAAGGTCTCTCTACGTTGCCTAGGCTGGTCTCCAACTCCTGCTCAAGCAATCCTTCTACCTCAGCTTCCCTAAGTGCTGGGATTATGGGTGTGAGCCACTGTGCCCAGCTAACAGCAGTTTTCATGATGAAATGCTAAAATCATGTGGAAGCAATTTATTCTTAGAAATCCTAATCCACAATTATCACAAGTAAGAATGTGATTTTTTCTCTTTTTTTTTGAGTTGGAGTCTCACTCTGTTGCCCAGACTGGAGTGCAGTGGCTGCTCCCGGCCACCGCAGCCTTGACCTGCTGGGCTCCAGTGATCCTTCTGCCTCAGCCTTCCAAGTAGCTGGAATTACAGGCGCGCGCTTCCACGCCCGGCTAATTTTTTGATTTATTGTAGAGATGAGGTCTCACCAACTTGCCCAGGCGGGTCTCGAACCCGGGGGCTCAGGCAATCCACTCACCTCAGCCTCCCAAGGCGTGGGATTACAGGCTGAGCCACTGAGCCCGGCAAGAACTTTTTCTTTTTTTTGAGTTGGAGTCTCACTCTGTCACCCAGGCTGGAGTGCAGTAGCATACTCACGGCACCCCAGCGTTGACCTGCTGGGCTCCGGTGATCCTTCCACCTCAGCCTTCCAAGTAGCTGGAACTACAGTCTAAGTTATTATTGTTGTTATTATTATTATTTATTGTAGATATGAGGTCTTGCCAAGGTTCCTGGGCTGGTCTTGAACCGCAGGCTCAGGTGATCCACTCACCTCGGCCTCCCAAAGTGCTGGGATTACAGGCTGAGCCATTGAGCCTGGCCAAGAATGCAATTTTTTTGACAAAGACATCACTTATTTACTACAGCAAATACTGCAACGACAGAAGGCGTGAATCCTCTTTATTACCACCAGGTGGTGGTCTCTGACTGAAATTTTATCCCAAAACCTTATCTCAGGTTCAGATTTATCTTCAGTCCCTTCAAATTCCTATGTGGATTTACATAGTTGGTCTACCATATAGTTAATAAGCACACAAATTATTCACACACTTGTTTCGAGTGGTGGGGTGTTACACAAACACAAAATGAAAAACCCAAGCAGATGTAAAAAGGTTTCTTAGCATGCTGTATATCCATTCAGGTGACAGTTTTCATAAAGGAACTCCAGTAAGATCCAAGTAATATAAGATTTTAAATGGCACCAAAAGTTAATAGTTAATTATTATTATTATTATTTTTTGAGTTGGGGTTTCACTGTCACCCAGGTTGGAATGCAGTGGTACAATCACAGCTTACTGCAGTCTACCTCCTGGGCTCAGGAGATCCTTCCGCCTCAGCCTGCCAAGTAGCTGGGACTACAGGTACGCACCACCACACCTGGCTAATTTTTTTATTTTTTGTAGAGACAAGGTCTTGCTATGTTGCCCAGGCTGGTCTCCAACTCCTGGCTTCAAGCAATCCTCCCACCTTGACCTCTCAAAGTGTTAGGGTTGCAAGCATGAGCCACCATGCCTGGCCAATATCTCATTTTTTTGTTTTCTGTTTTAGCATTTTTCCTTTGCTCTAAATTCTAGAACTCATAAGGCAGTTGAGATGCCTTTGTTTGCAAACAAAGCCAGAAGCCAAAAACATTCATTAAAAGTTAGCTGTGGAATGTGACACTGTTTGCTTCCTGGCCCTAAATCCAAACAAGGCAATTGTCAATCATCTAAGCCACTGTCACAGTGTGGGATTTCTCCAGGTCCCAATCCTGAGCACAAAGTCTTTTTGTCTCTGAGGAAAGCGAGATTAAGGTTTTGAGTCTTGAGTTGACTCTGGAATGACTGGCAAGACCTCAGTACAGAAATACAGACAACCATATTTTCATGAAAAGCCAGAGGAGAGCCTCCTCTGTTCCTCAACTCCCTACTACTGCCCCCACCTGACATCCCTCCTTTTCCCAGTGAAATAGTGGTAGTTTTATCCCAGACACTTGAGTGTTTTTAGTTTTTTTTTTGAGTTGGAGCCTCACTCTATCACCCAGGCTATAGTGCAGTGGGGCAATCACAGTTCACCACATCCTTGACCTCCTGGGCTCAGGCTATCCTCCCGCCTCAGCCTCCCAGGTAGCTAGGACTACAGACATGTGCCACCAAGCCCAGCTAATTTTTTTTTTTTTTTTGTAGAGATGAGGTCTTACTATGTTCTCTAGGCTGGTCTCACTCTTGGCCTCAAGAGATCCTTCTGCCTCAGTCTCCCAAAGTGCTGGGATTACAGGTGTAAGCCACCATACCTGGCTGCACTTTTAGTTTTGAGCCACTAGATTTATTAGTGAATAACTGCATGTTATAATAAAGATTCTGTAAAGAGAAAAATACAAGTGACAGAAGTTACTTATATTGTTGAAAACATGGGAAATAGTGTAGGCTTTTTAAATTTTTATTTTATTTAGTCAGGGTCTCTGTCACCTAGGCTAGGATGCAGTAGTGTGATCATAGCTCACTGTAACCTCAAACTATTGGGCTTAAGCAATCCTCCCACCTCAGCCTCCTGAATAGCTAGTACTACAGATGAATACCATTGCACTCGGCTAATTTTTCCTTTTTTGGAGGAGCCAGGGTCTCACTATGTTGCCCAGGCTAGTCTCGAACTCCTGGCCTCAAGCAATCCTCCTGCCTTGGCTTTCCAAAGTGTTCGGATTACAGGCATGAGACACTGCACCTGGCCAAGTGTAGTTATTAAAAGTACAATCTTTACAGCCTGAAAAGACTTAAGTTTGAATGCAACTCCAGCAATGATTACCTGTATGACCTTCAGCGAGAGAGAGACATAAAACTGCCTAAGCCTCAGTTTCCTCATCTATAAAGTGTGTACAATAATATGGACAGTGCCTAGAATATAGGACAATAAATGAGAGCTACATATAAGAACATGGTATAGAATGAGGTTTCTAGAACTCATTTCCCATTCATCTTCACTGAAAAGAGCCAGTTAACTCATTCATATGTATATACCAACAGTCTATGCAACACTACAGAACGCTTTTTTTAAAGACAGAAATATGAGTTCTAGTCCTAAAACATCAGAACCAAAACTAACTGAACATCAGAAAGAACCAACTTACCCTACACCTAATTTCAAAGTCTTCTAGAAAGCATGAAATATTAAAGCAGCTTCCAGCAGGACGCAGTGGCTCACGCCTGTAATTCCAGCACTTTGAGAGGCCAAGGTGAGAGGACTGCCTGAGCCCAGAGGTTCGAGACCAGCCTGGGCAACTTGGCAACACCTCATTTCTACAATAAATAAAAAGATTAGCCGGGCGTGGTGGCATGTGCCTGTGGTTTCAGCTACTTGGAAGGCTGAGGCAGAAGGCTCACCTGAGCTCAGCAGGTAGAGGCTGCACTGACCATGAGCATGTCACTGCACTCCAGCTTGGGTGGCTGAGTGAGACTCCAACTCAAAAAAAACCCCAAAAAAACCCCAGCTTCCTTTATCTCTCTCAAAATATTTTTTGAAGCTGCACTATCTAAATCCTCACCTGTTCCCCTCACACCCCCACCTAGCCCTTGTGCCCTCACATGCCCCCACTACACATACAAAGGAAGAAGGCCCAAGACTGTCAGCCTAAGCAGTGGGTGCGTGGATTCCAAAGTATCTGGTATTGTGGCTACAAGGCCAGCATACTTAATTCTGGTATAAAAAGAAACCAGCTGTTTCACTTAACATAATGACCTCCAATTCCATCCATGTAGCTACAAGTGACAGTGGGAGCTAAAAAAGTGGATCTCATGAAGATAGAGAGTAGATTGGTGTTCTAGAAAAGGGGGTCCCCAACCCCTGGGCCACAAACCAGTACAAATCGATGGCCTGATGGGAACTGGGCCACATAGCAGGAGGTGAGTGGCAGGCAAGCAAAGCTACATCTGTATTACAGCCGCTCCCCATCACTCACATTACCAGCTGAGCTCTGTCATCTGTCAGATCAGT